CTTCTAAAGTTTCTTCTTATCATTTCATATTTCTTTCTCTAAGATATTGTAAGGTAATTTAATTAGGGTAGGTATTTGGTCATGTCATATAACAATGCTTTTGATATGATACACTTTTATTCGCTGTGTTCAAGAGGTGACTAGTTTTTAAGTCTTAACAATTGATTGTGAGATCCTCATGTTCAAAGTTCCCTAACTACTCATTTCTAAGTTTCACTTTAAATATTTGTGTAATGAGATAGATAATTTGACTTAGGGTATTCAAGGATGGACAATAATATAGTTATAGTACGTAACTCTCTTTGGGGTGTGACACATGCCTTCTTATTGGAGGAAAGTCTTTCATGATGTCCATCACCTTGTCAATCTATGAGAAGTACTCAAGTTCATCAAGCTAGGTTCTTCAAGAAAGAAAAGAAGAAAATTATAAAATAAGCTATGGAAATCTTGCATGTCCTCTAGTTGGAGGAATGTCTTACACTTATCCAATTTACTAGATATATTTTCCAAGAAATGAGACAACCTAGGGAAGAGAAGTTTTGCATGTAGTCTAATTGGGCACAATCTTTCAAGTATCTTTGTTAATCTTTTCTTTTTAGATTTTAGGATAAGAAATTTGTATTATCCTATAGGTGATTTGTCCATCACTCAGTCACCAAGAAAAACCTACATTTAAAATAAATAAACTAAGTTTAAGAAAATCAAGAAAGGTCTTCCTTGCATGCAAGATGATAGGGTGAGTGGCATTCCATCTATGACAAACCAACCTTCTAGGGCATGCTCAATTTTCTTCCTCCCCAAGTGATGGGACAACACCTAAAAGTGGTGGTTGTGGGCCCCACATGGCTGGCCACACCCTCTCCCTTTTTTTTTTTGAATGTATCTTTTTAATTGGTCATCTATCTCAACATGTAGATATGCAAGATTATCTAAAATCTAAGCTAAGTAGTATAACCTTTGTTTCAATTATCAAGGTAATAGGCCCACTATAATTTTGGTCATGGAAAATTAAAATAGTTAAAGTCTAATTTGCTAATCATCATGTATCTCTTGGAAAATTCCACTAGAAATAGATTTTAATTCAATGTGCATCACAATTATCTTACAAAAATAAAATTGGGATCTCACACTTTTCCCTCGCATTTGTCATCTTTACCTCGAATAATGCATACAAACACTTAGGTTTTACTTACACCTTCTTTCCCTTTCACCATATGGGAAATGTAGGCACATGGGCCATTTGACGACGTTGTTATATACATATATATACACCTGAATCTAATTTTTGAATCTGGGGTGAAGATTTTAGGGGTTTTCAAGATTCAATCTTAGCCATTAGTTACAACTTTGGTTAAGGGTTAACCCAGGGTTAGTTTAAGGTTGTTAGGGGTTGAGTTAGAGTGGAAGAAGCCTTCATTTCAGCCTCTTTATCCCCCAAAACGTGACACTCTCACTCTCTTCTTTCTCTAAATTTCTCCCTCCTCTCTCTAAAATTCTCACACAAAACCATTGGCTTGATCCTTGTTTTTCCAAGCGAGTGTTCTTGTGTTTTTAGGCTTAGAACCTTACTTTAAGGAGTGATTAGAAGACTTGAAAGTGGTTTCTATTGCGTTTCGAAGATCAAAGTCGAATGACAAAGCTTATTCTTCGAACATCTCTCCCTTTCAACCTCTTTCCTCCATTGTTTAATTGTTAAAGCTTCAAAGAGGTAGGGGTTTTCTCATCTCTTTCTTAGAAAGCATGCTAGGGTTTTATTTCAAAAATTTGTGGCATGGTTTTATCTATGGAAGCATGATTAGTGTAAACTATGAGTTCTTTAGTTAATTCATGCCTTCCTGAGACACTTTTAAGTTAGAGTTAGATTTTTGTCTTGAAATCTTTGAAAATGTTCATATTATGCGATTTCATGAACTTTGAATAGAATATTGTCATACTTATCTTGAAATCATGAAAAGCATTATTTCAGTAATTTAGGGCTTTTTGTTCAAATCTCAAAAAGTGTAATTTATGGCATGGTTGGTGACTAATGGTATAAAGAACATGTGATTTGGACAACTTTGAATTTTTAATAATTATTTATAGTGTTGAGAAATTGGGGGAAATGATGTAGTTAGATTAATCATGGGTTGAAATGAGTTAGCCTAAAAGATGGTGTGATTTAGAGTTGATTTACTATTTTTCCCATAATTTTTACCTTAGTTTTGCTTACTAGTTTCTTAAAAATATATGTTTCCATGACGATTTTATTATTTTAGTTGTGTTTGTGAGTTATTTGGATTATTTAATGAATTTGAGACTGATAAGAGCAAAAAGGTAATTTTGACTCTTTAGGGGGTAAAATAGTTATTTGGGAATATTTTGGATTATTTTATTGAAATTTTCCACGTAGGAAATTAACCTGGGATTAATGAAGGGTAAAGTGGTAATCGCACGCTTTGAAGGCATTTTGGTAATTAATATTTTAGGGGTAATTTGGTAAAATTGTGTCTTAGGGCCATATTGGTCATTTCACACTGAGAGTATTTATAGCCCTAGGGGCAAATTGGTAAGATTGGCTAGAAAGAGCCTTGTTGAAAAAAAAATGGCAGTGTTGGAATTTACTCTCAGTTCCTAGTCAAAGTACTTAGTATCTATTCATGATTCTTTGGAAGTTGTTTAGTATTTAATAGGAGTCTTGTTGAGTCATTTTGTAGTGCCTGTAAATATATGAAGAAATGAAATGAGAAGGCAAGACTGAGTTGATTAAAATTTATTTGCAAGTGTGTCTTGCTTGGAGTGAGTGATTCCTAAGTATTGAAAAGTGGAAATCTAAGTATTATATAATTGGTGTTGGTATTTACTATATTTAGTTGTTTTTCGGGTGCATCCCGGTATTATTGATTTTACAGGCTTGGCCCAGGTTATAGGCTTATAGCCAATATTGTGGTCCAGTACACTTGAGGAGATAATGGATCCAACTATCTGCGGGTTAGAATCCCATACGCTACGCAATTTAGAGTGGTTGTAGCCTCTGATGGATGATAATGGAGTTTCTTTCTGACACACAGCTCAAAGGGAGCGTAGGGCGTGATCTTGGGGACTTATTATGTATTTATTTACGGCTTGGATAGGGTATGTGTTGGTGAGATTGGGTATTTGCCCTGTTGACAGGTTATTGACGCCCTGGTGGCGGTTATTGATTCCAAATTATTTATTTTATTTAATTATTTTAGTGAGTTGATTAAATAAGATGAACTTAATAAGATTAAGTTAATAAGGTAATTGGACATTTCATTGCATAATTTTTCTTGTCATGACACTAACATGTTTACTTAGTAAGAATGAGATTATTGTCGGGTGGGTGTCAAGACTCACGCCCCTCCATTGTGTAGGTACCGATGGACGCCAATCGGCGTGAGTGTCAGGACATGGTTTATTTTGTTAAGTATAGAGCCTAGGTTAATTTGGGCCTACGTGCCTTCACATCTTTTGTCAGATTACTGTATTAATTAATTTCAGGTCTATAACTTAAACATTTATTTATGTTATTATATGATATACTTTATTTTGTTGGTTTGAGTGAGAATGTGTTTAGTATGTGAGAGAGAACACTAGCATTTTTAGATTTAAAGGGTGAATTATTTCAAAAGCTATCAAACAGCATGTTTCCCAATGCAAACCTAATTTTGAGAATTTAATGAGAATTGGCTAAGGAAAATGATTTCGAATATGAACCACGTAATAAAGAGAGTTTTTACTTAAAAAGCTCACACTTAGGTTATATTTTGTTAAGTATAGAGCCTAGGTTAATTTGGGCCTACGTGCCTTCACATCTTTTGTCAGATTACTGTATTAATTAATTTCAGGTCTATAACTTAAACATTTATTTATGTTATTATATGATATACTTTATTTTGTTGGTTTGAGTGAGAATGTGTTTAGTATGTGAGAGAGAACACTAGCATTTTTAAATTTAAAGGGTGAATTATTTCAAAAGCTATCAAACAGCATGTTTCCCAATGCAAACCTAATTTTGAGAGTTTAATGAGAATTGGCTAAGGAAAATGATTTCGAATATGAACCACGCAATAAAGAGAGTTTTTACTTAAAAAGCTCACACTTAGGTTAATTAGTTTCTGCCTAATTGATCTTTGAAAATCGGGTGGCACTCTCTCTCTCTGTCTCTCTTGCACGTGCGCATTCCCCTTTTCACACTCTATCTCGCTCTCTAAATTCCTTTTGTTTCCACTACTTATTTGGAAATTGTGGTCCATGCTTCATGGAAAAAATTGTTGTCCGCATTTAAATATGTTCCACTTTGTATTAGCTTTCTGCAATTCCATCAAATTAATTTTTAATTTTCCATGCACTTAAGTGCTGAGTGCTGGCAGTTAGAAGAGTTGATTGCCTAGAATGCACATTTTAGTACGCATGGACCCAAATCCTTAGATCAAGGGAATTGGCCCAAGTCATGAAATTGTACGAGGATGCTCATAATTTGCGCGTCTCTCCATTGACCTCCAAGTAAAAGTGAACCAGTTAGATCTCTCTAGCAATCACATTGCAGTTATTTCTATTTTTGCATTCACAGCTGTGTAATGTCCCCAAGTCTCCTTTCATGTGATTATTAATTGAAAAAGTACTAGATTCATGGAAACTACTTTTTCCTAATCTATGGTATGGATGGAAACAATATGACAATTGTGGAATTATGCATATTGACTTGCATGGATACAGATGCTGTGGCTACAAATGACCTCCTTTCTCAATCTTGTTGATCATCATGTTGTGTTGTGCATCTGGTTTACCCCTCTCTCCGATATGAATATGTGAAGCTTTCAGTTCAGAGTTTATCTTTCTTCAAGTAAACCCTCAACAAAAAACAAAAAACCTTTATAGATGCCTATTATGATGAGTTAAAACTGGTGTTCTTTTTTCTTCTTTGTTTTATAGCTCTTGCTTGTGTTGGTATCCCTCTCTCTCTCTCTTGTGTCTGATAAAAGAATAATCATCTTTGTCAGGTACATTGGCAGCCAAATATGAAAAACTTGGTGGGGAAGTAAAATGGATGGGCAAGCCTGATGAGGTGAGATAGTCAGAGGAAGTATTTTCCCTCTACCTTACCCTAATTAAAATCTTGGAACATATTTTCTATGCATGTGTTAAAAACTACTATCACCTACTCCACCTACTACACCTACCACCACCTACTACACCTACCACCACCTACCACCACCTACTACACACCTACCACTACCACCTACTCCACTACATCTCCTATATAAGGAGCCCCTCACCATTTGTAATATATAATATACATCAATCAATAATACAATTCTCTATTTCTCTTTATACATTAAATTTCTACATGGTATCAGAGCAAGGTTAAGACCTTAGTATTTCTCGCTTTACCGGCGGGCGGCAACCTCGCCTTGGCCGCCCGCCGGACCTCAACCTAGTCCGTTAGAATTTTCTACACATACCTTCCCATCATTGTCCAAATCTTATCTCTCTCAAGACAACGAAGAGTTTCTCAGAGGTTTTTAGCCAGTTTTTTGTCTTAGCCTCTTGTTCGCGGATCTTTTGCATTTGGAGCATCCTTTCCATGACGAGCTCGTACTCGCAATTCTCGTAGGAGTGACGCTCGATCTCGCACTTCCATGGGAGGTATAGCTCGGCTTGGCGGCACTTGTTGAGGGGTATCAGCAGGTGTGCGCACTGTTCTCTGTATGCTTTTGGGACCTTCGCTTCCACCATCTCCGCCTGCGTCGCTATCATCTTCTTCGACGTTCCTCCCATCTTCCATTAACCGAGTTTGATGCTTCTTTAGATGCTGAAAGCTCAAATCCGGGTAACCAGATCTTCGAAATGCTCATTTCAGGAATGTATCTGGGAAAGGTTGTTAGAAGAGTTATACTGAAGATGGCCTAGTAAACAGCTTTGTTTGGAGATATAGTACCACCCAAACTCGCTATTTCTTACTCATTGAGGAACCCAAAGTAATTTTTAATCTTTGCCATTCCCACTATCATTGAAATCTTGCAGAACGGGACAGACGAGGCTAGGGAGAACTCTGCTGCGACACTCTTTAGTCTGTCAATGCTCGATGAGAACAAGGTGATGATCGGTTGCTTAAATGGGATTCCTCCTCTAGTGGATCTCTTGAGGACTGGGACAATCAGAGGTAAAAAGGACGCTGCTACTGCACTTTTTAACTTGTCACTCAACATGCTTAACAAGTCCAGAGCCATTAAGGCGGGTATCATACCACCATTACTTCATTTACTTGAAGATAAGAACTTGGGTATGGTGGATGAAGCACTCTCGATTTTGACCACCACTCTCAATTTCACTTTCCCTGCATCGTCTTTATTATCCATCACCTTCTGCAGTAAAGCATTGTGAGCACACTCAGTAAAGCATCGTCACGCACACTCATAAGCAAGGCAGCCTTGTGTGCCCTGTGTGCGGCTCCAACTGGAAAGTTCCCTGTATTGACCACCACTCACCCAATCATCATCATCCTACCGACCCACTCATCATATAATAATCTTCCACCGCCCCTCTTTTTATCTTTTCTTTAAAAAAAAAAAAAAAAAAAAAAAAAAAAAACATCACCACGGAATTAAGGGGCAATTGAGAGGGTGATTTATGATCTGGAGTTGGGCCGAGATATCGACCGATCAGGTTGAGAGCCCAGCAGTGCATTGGGCCGAGATGATCCACTGTTCGCCCAGAGAAGGGCTGCCAAAACTTGGGTCGGGCAGAGTTTGGACCGAGTGTGTGCCACCCCGGACCGTACAGAAATTGCTCGGCCAGGAAGTGACCGGTCAGACCAGGATGCTCGGTCCGAGGATGGTCGAAGCCAGACAGGCTGAGAGACCGGCGCCCGGAAAGGCGCGGTCAGCCGAGGTAGTTGATTGACCGGCAGGAAGGCCAACCAAAGGAGGTGCCCGGGCTAGGCTTTGCCGAGATGCCGCCTAGCCCGGTCATCCACGTGTTTGTCCAGCTAGGCGCATGAGTATGAAACATGACATGGCCGAGGAAGAGCAGCTCGGCTGCCGAGCTCCAGCTGCGAAGTCAGGCAGTTGAGGTTAGGTGGTGAATAGCATGGTTTATGCTGACAGATGGGATAGCAGAGCCACGTGTCAGGAGACGACTGGGAGTGGATATGGGGGTCAGAAGGTATATAAGCATGTCTGCGCCCCCCATACGCAACACACGAACACATCTGTAAGGATTTCTTACACTCAAACACTCTCTCCCTTCTCTCTATCCATCCTAAGGTGTGTGCTAACTTGACCGTCGGAGGGTTTTTCCGGCCACACACCGCCGGGTAGCTCACCATTACTTGCTCGCAGGTGATCGGACATCGACGGAGCTCGGAAGAAAGGAATACGGGCACGCTAAAATATTTGCTCCCCGTACACATACCATATAGCTTTGCACACCAAACCATATTTTATTTATCTCAGGGATCAACCCCGATCACAATTTTACACGAAAAAAAAAAAAAAAAAAAACAACACCAAACCAAAACACAACACCCACAGATTTGTTTTCTTTTCTGCAGATTCTCTATTTCTCTTTATACATTAAATTTCTACAGCATGTATACATGGAGTTGGTCCATATTCATCCATTCACGCATGAATGATTAAAATAATTCATCTAGCAGTGCACATGCATGCACAAATGTATCATGGTTTTGTTGTTGTAGGAGTTTTCATATTTGAACATAATATGAATTGCTATGTGTCTAATAAAGCTTCACTTGTTTCCAGAACTATTGTGACATCCTTTTTTATGTATAATTTCATAGTTGTTTGCATCCCTGAGAGATTGCAATTCTTCTCTTTCGCTCAAAAGTTGATACAGTGACTAAAGTTGTAAATAACATTTAGTAATGCCCATTGTTTTTCAATGTTAGTAGCCCAAAATTTGTGTCTAGTGTTGGCATCTTGATTTGTTAGGTGATTTTGAATAATGCTTAAAGGATGTTTCTGCTAGCAAATTTCATTATGCCCTCTATTCCAAAATATTAGTCCCTTCTGGAAATCCCAACTTTTTAAAGGACATGTAATTATTAAATTCAAATAAAAAGGAATTGATTTCACAAATTGCTCCTTTATTCCTACTTTAATTAGAGGTAGCAAACGGGCAGGTTTGGGTGGGTCAAATGGGTTGTATGTTAAAACAACCTGACCTAAACCCGTTTACTTTATTGAAGTTGTGGGGTGGTGGAGGTTGTAGTGGTGGTGGTGGGTTAGGTTCGCAAGATGCAACCCATTGAAACCTGTTTATAGATTTGGACGGGTTTAAATTAAATGGTTGAAATTCTGCGGGTTCACGGTTTTAGGTTGAGTTTGAGGACCTATTTTTAGCCATTTATAGGAGAGAGTTTTGAAAAATCGTTAAGTTCTATGTTCTGAATTTTTTAAGAGGAGTGTATTTTGGGACATCCCAAATGGAACAGGACAAATGTCGTGGTATAGATGGAATATTAGCCTAGGTCTGCTCACCCATGTGGACTACACAGCAAATTGAAATGTTTGTAGAGCTATTTGTATAACTCAAGGCCAATCTTTCTATTAAATGCTTATATGCAAACTGAAAATGTACTATTGAATTTGTGGCCGTGACCATTTCTTTTTACTTCAAATTTCCTGAAATGATGTTAGAAGCTCCAAAATTACTATATCGTATGTTCTAAATTAAATTTAGACCTTGGTTTAATGGTGAAATCAATGCAAACATCATATAATTAGAAATGGTGTTGGTTTCCTTTTACTAGAATATCTGCTATTGCTTGTCTTGTCGTCTCTTATTGGTTTTTGTGCCCTTTCAAATACGTTTATTATGATGGTTTTCAGAAAATCTATAAATCAGCTATGGCCATGGCTGGTGTGGATGTTGGTGATTGTATCGCTGTGGGTGACTCTCTCCACCATGATATAAAGGGTGCTAATATAGCTGGGATGCAATCAGCATTTATAACTGGTGGAATCCATGCAAGTGAACTTGGACTTGGTAATTATGGAGAACTGGCAGATTCATCTTCGGTGCAGGCTCTTGCATTGAAATACGATGCTCATCCATCGTTTGTATTACCTGCATTTATGTGGTAGTCTCTTGGTAAGTATTCTAATATTCTTCCCTATTTGTCCTAATCATATGGTTATTAGAATCTTACAATACATGAAACGATTCGATTCAAAAAATTCGATACGAGTGTCAACCAAAGCGATCCAAAACATGCTGCTGAATTTTAAATTGAGTGAATCTTATAATTCAATTGTGATTTAGAACGATTCATTGTGATTTACTGTGACTCGTTACAATCACTACAATTCAATTTTGTTTACATAATGAAAAAAAAAGGATTTCGCAAAATAAAAAAAGAGATTAATTAATTATATTGATATTTGTCATTTTATATGTATATATTATATAATTTAGTTATATTAATATTTTTATTTTTATTTTAAATACTATGTGTGTATTAGTATACGTATATATACTAAATAAAATTATATATTATGCTAAGGTTCATGATTCACTATTTTAGGAAAACAATTCACGATTTGATTTGCAATTTGACAAGAATGATCCTAAGTGTTTGGGTGTGCAAGGTGTATATCATATGCACTTGTGTAAATTCTCACAAATACACATAAATTACCTCACAAAATTGTGTAACTTCTCACAAATATACGTAAGTTATGATTTCTCAAATTTTTATGGGTTAACTTACATATATTTATGAAAATTTACTCGATTTTGTAAGGTAACTTATGTATATTTGTGAGAACTTATGCAAGTGCATATGGTATGCACTTGCACACTTAAGAATTGCCCAATTAAGGATTAGGACTCCCTAACTCACTTAAGTGGCATTAATATCAGCTTGAGAACGAAGAGATTGGTTAATTGGGACTGGCTTTTAAGTTTCTACTGCTGCAAAACATAATGAGAAAAACAGGGATCTGCGCTGAGGTTAGATATACACAAATAATTTGATGTCTGAAAACTGTAGTACTATGGAGCCAACAACATGTATAATTTGGCTTCTGAACTATTCTGACAGTAACTTTTGAGCAAAATTTTATGTTAAATTCGTATATTTTCACAATTTGGTTATTTGACTTATGAACTAGCCAATGACATGTATAATTTGATTTCTGAGCTATTCTGATAGTAACTCTTAAGTTTTTTTTTTTGGTAGATTCGTATATTTTCACAATTTGGTTACTATGTCAATTATTTGTACTCTGAAACCATTCCTGCATAATCAGTATGCTCTTTCTTCTAAAATGACCGTTTTTGGAGGTCGGGACCTTGTTTCATTATGGAAATGGTTGACTTCCATTTTAGTTTGAGGATAGCCGTTAGGTAGACCCGTCATCGCTACTATTAGGTTTCTTCTTCCTTGAAATTGTTTCCAAACACATCCCGAAGTGGTTGAAGAAAAATGTTCATGAACAGCTCAAGTTCGGTTCATTTAATGAAAGGACTAGCTTAAGCTTGAACATTAAGTCCGTTTAATAATCGTGCCAAGTTCGAGTAGACCCAAGCTTGGCTTGACAAGGCCCATGAATACAAAGAATATGAATTAATATTATTTTTAAAGATATATCAAATATATTTTTATTAATTTTTTTATTTGTGTATGGCATTTGTGTAAATTCACATATTTGTTAATAATATAAGCATTTTTTAATATTTTGCTCACAATTTTCTTTTTCCCCCCCTAAAATGAAATTAAAAGTTTGATTTTTCTTTTCAAGCTCAGGCTCAGCTTATTTATATAATCAAGTTGACTTGAGTCAAGCTCAAACATCCAAAAACTTGGCTCAGCTCTTTTGTAGGCGAACTATTGTTCTGAGATTTTTGCAATTTGTTTGAACATTGTAGGCTTTTCATGGTATTTTTATTTTTTTTATGCACAATTTTGAGAGAAGGAATTTCTTCCTAAGAATAAGAAAATTTAAATTTTCAACTCAGGACTTAAAGTCTGGTGAGATGATGATGATTTTCATGAGGGAGGCTTGTGGTGAAAAGATCATTGATGGTATACGTGAACACTAGAAATGCTGTACCTTTCCTGAACTGTAATAATGATCAAATTGTAATCCTTGCACTCTAATTGATTTTCTAGAGATAAAAAAGATTTTAATCTGTGTGGATATATATGTATATATGTATGTATTTTTTTGCATGGTGTTATGTTCTCTTACGCTGTGTTTGGTTGGGTAATTTAGAGAGGGATTTGAAAAGAGAAAGGGAAAGGGAAAAGGTGTGTGAAATTGTGTGAAATGTAAGTATATTTTTTTCACATTTCACTTACCTTTTTCATTTTCCTTTCCAAATCCCTCCTCAAATCCCTCAACCAAACCCAGCAGTAGTGCTTCCCTAAGGTTATATTTGGTTCATGGATTTGGGAAATAATTCAAAAAGGGAAAAAATAAATGAAATATATATGTATAATATAATTATATTTCATATATTTTTTTTTCCTTTTCTTTCCAAATCTTTTTTCAAATTTCTGAATCACACACGGCCTAATTTAAGCTAAATCCATTCGGAGCATTCTAATATAGTACATAGGTGATGATATGAATCCTTCTAAGAATTAATGTAGAAAAATACATAAAATCATATCTTCAGACACCTAAATTGTCCTTTTGAATTGGTCGCTGAGAACAAAATAATTCCCATCTTTAGAAAACAAAAGTTTCAAATCAAGTGCTGGAATAAGATAAGGATAAATTACAATTGTAGTCCTTAACGTAGCACTTTTTTTGTTAAATTTCCTGAAGTTTTAATTTTGTCAATTAAGTCCTTAAAGTATTAAATTCGAATCAATTTAGTCTTGAAGACAATATCAAAATAAAACATAAGCTCAAAGGTTATATACAATTGTTATAAGGCCCAAATTTTAATTTATTATTGACTTAATTACCATTTGCTTGTGATTTAGAATTGATATCAGAGTTTGGTTTTTTAATTTTTTTAATATTAATATATGAGCATTAGATACACTGGAGAAGTCGAATAAGACAATTTAAATAATAGCATTGCACTACAAATAATTATCAAACCAAATAATACTATAATCAAGTTATTAAAAGAACTTAAGGAAAATATTAAGAAAAATCAATTATAAATTATATATGAAGTTCGACATTTATTATTAGATGAATGTAAATAGTTAGCTCCTGTAACAAATAATACAGATAATTATTCTTATCCTTATAGGGGAACTCTCCAATCGATAACACCGGGGGGAAAAAAAAAATCTAAGTAATTATTGTGTTGACAAATTATAAATAATGGCGGAACAAAAAATAAATAAAATGAAATGTAAAATAATATTAGAAGTGAAAAAGAGATAGCATGGATAATTGCGAATTAGAATAAATAAATAAGAGTAGAATAGAAATAGAAGACGACCTATATAAGCGATTAGAATTAATTAGTTAGAGAAAAATATAACAATTATAAGAGGATAATCAAGTTGATAATAAATTAATATCTGAACATGATCACAATTTTATATAACCTTTAGGTTTATATACTATTTTTATATTATTTTCAGGACTAAATGGATTCGAATTTAATACTTTATGAATTTAATTGACAAAATTGAAACTTTAAGGACTTAAATGAAAAAGGTGTTAAATTTTAGAAACTATTATTGTAATTTATCCATAAAATAATTATCTTAAAATCCTTTTTGTCTGAAAAAAAAAAAAAAAAAAATTCCTTTTTGTCTGATTCAATGAATTCAACCAAAAACTGGCATGTCTTCCTAGTTTTGATTTTGCCAACAATAGAAAATGAGGCTTTGTCTCAAAAGTAAACAAGAAAGCATTTTGAACATTTGTTCAATTACGGAACCTTTTATTTTCTGATAAATCATAAATATACCAAAAATACATACTGCCCTTGTAGTTTGTGAAAATTTTAAATATTCTTGTCAAAGTTTGTGACATAGGAGCTTCTGTTCGTGAAATTTAACTCTCTACTCCTTTCTCATTTCACTAATTTAAAAAAATTAAAAATTTTCATTTCAACTCGCTACAATTTCCTTAATTTCAAACAGACTGCACCCTTAACCTCAAACCTTCTCTCTATACCCCACCTTTGTTTTTCCTTTTGTTTGTCTTTCCCACCTCTTCCATCACCCCCTGATGAGGATGACGGCAAAGTGAAGGATGGAGCTGAGGGTGAGGGTGAGGGTGAGGGCATCAGGGTGGGGAAGGAGTTACAATCATGCTTTGCTTGGCCAACCAAGGCAAAACAAACTTGATACCTTCAACACAAAATGACCCAATAAACCCAACAAACTTGGTGTTTGTTGCGCAGACAACCCTTGAACAAATCAAATTTGTTTAGGGTCCGTTTGGCAAGGAAGGTTGGGGCTAAAATAGCCACAAAAGACAAAATAGGCTATTTTAGCCACAACAAACAAAACATTACATCCAACTCATAATCATTACACTCTTCTCTCACAAAAAAAGTCAAAAAAGTCAAAAAGCCAAAAAGCCCTTCCCAAATCAAGCTTTTTAGCCCAGGCTAAAATAGTCAAAAAAGTCAAAAAGGTAAAAAGCCAACCCACTTCCCAAACGGAGGCTTAGTGGATGGCTCCAAGTTGGTTAAAATAGTTATGTTTTAGCCCAGGGTTGTTCAAGGGTTACATTGACTCAGTGCACTGTTGGCTTGTCATTGAACTGATTAGTTTGATTTAAATACGTCAATTGTTCATTTCACTTGATTTTTCGATTGGTTTCGATTTTACCAAAATACACATGAAGGGAATATGGAGGGGAGAGATGGAATCAACATAGCAAATCAGAAAACAACAATACAATACAAATCTCACAAATATCAACATGGAATCAACAAGCACAAATCTCATAAACTTTAGTGTGGGGACATATTTCTAGGGATATTCATGTGGCCGAGGTTGTTGGCCAAGGTGCCACATAGATGAGCTGAGATGCCGAGATATGGTGTGACCATATCGGAATCTGAGACATTCAGTAGAGGATGAAAGTCCTAGATAATTTGAGGCTCTTTGTTTGGATAAAGATGAGGCTCTTGTGAGAGTTCATTCTTATTTTAATAGAGTCTGAGATAAAGGTGATCCCTGTAAGGGATAGAGTCCTATAAAGTGATACTTCTAAGGGACGAGGGTGCTACTGATTATATAAAGAGGGCACCTCCATGGGTCTAAGGTAGGCTTATTATTGCGAGTTGCATACTTGAGTTGATATCTTGTGAGATTGTTGACTGACTTGATCGTCGAAGTGCTCCCGGGTGGACGAGGCATAGTGGTGTTACTTGTTTTCTTGTGTGCAGGTATTGGGCTTAATTTATTCTTCTGTGTGCTCTACAACTAAGTTCCTAGGATCTCAGCGGAGAGATATAGTTTGGTTGTGAGGTTAAAAATCAACACCCACAATTTGGTATCGTCTGTGGGAACTTAGTAAGAATAGATGGCTAACATTGGACAAGAAGAGCGAGCAGGGAACAACCTAATTAGCGAGGAGGATGAGGACGTTGATCTCGGCATCGAAGAAAGAGAGGAGGATTGCAACGAAGTGCACGAAGTGAATCCAGAGGCAAACAATGCAGCTAAGGGCCGCCCCAGCCCGAGGAGGGGCAACAGAGGGAGACGGGAGCCTAATCCCGAGGAATACTATAACGAAAGTGATTTATAGTTGTGGAAAGATCGATGCTTATGAAGGGACAATGAGGTGAAAGAGTTGGCAGACAAGTTGATCGATTTATAGACAATGGTTAACTTTATGATGGCGAGTAAGGTGATATAGTTGGCATTACCAATACCGGCCACACCCCCGGTCGTTGCGGGTGCAGGTGCCTAACCGGCGGGACATGTCGTAGCACAAAACAATATAAAAAGGGTTGTAAACTTGCCACGAAAATCTCAACAAGTCAGGAGGGCGGAGCCACTTAGAGTGGAGCCTCAAAGAGCGGAGCCCGCGAGAGTGGAACCTCAGAGAGCTAGGGTGTCCCAAGTCAGATGATCACACCAAGTGAATGGGTAAGACCATCGGGTGGAGAGAACGTTGGACCACAGCAAGTCCAAGGGGACGCTGCCAGGCATGGGAAGCAACACACCGAAAAGATTGAAGTTGGTGAATAGTAA